ACTTCTACCGGCGATTCATCAAAGGGTACTCTGCGATCGTTGCACCCCTGACCACGCTCACTCGCAAAGACTTGCCATTCAAATGGACCCACGCTGCACACCTAGCTTTTGAAACCCTCAAGAAAGCCTTCACCTCCGCACCTATCCTGACTCACCCCGACCCTGACAAACCCTTCATTGTCGAATCCGATGCCTCCGACTTTGCCCTTGGCGCCGTCCTCCTTCAACCCGATGACACAGATCAACTCCACCCCGTGGCCTCTCACTCCCGCAAATTTACTCCTGAGGAAATCAACTATGAGATCTACGACAAGGAACTCCTGGCTATCCAAGACTCATTTGCTCAATGGCCACACCACCTCATTGGCGCCCGCCACAAGGTCATCGTTTACTGTGACCACAAGAACCTCCAGTACTTCATGACTACCCGTACCCTCAACCGCCGCCAATCCCGCTGGTCAATCTTCTTTGCTGATTTCGACTTTGTCATCACATACCGCCCTGGTACCCAGCAACACCAAGCTGACGCCCTCTCTCGTCGCTCTGAATACGAGCTAAGGGAGGGGGAAGAAGCATTCCGCTCCCAGGAAACCACGATCCTCACCCCTGACCATCTCCGCCTGGCCGCCACTTATCTGACCCCACTGGACTCCTCGCTCCTTGACCAAATCAAAGCTGCCCTGGCATCCGATGTGTTTGCGCAAACCATCCGGCGACAGCTTGGGGCCCCCATTGCCCAGCAATCTCAAGAAGACCAAGAACGGATAAAGCGATTCTCCGAGGAAAATGGGGTTCTGCTGTACGACAACCTTGTCTTCGTCCCCACCAACAAGCTCCGTGCTGAGATCTGCCGGGACATGCATGACACGCGTTTGGCAGGACACTACGGCATGTCAAAGACCCTGGAGCTCATCTCACGCAACTACTGGTGGCCTAGCCAGTGGCGTTTTGTCAAGTCCTACATCAGGTCCTGCAACGTATGTGCTCAAGCCAAGACCAGCAGACACAAGCCCTACGGACTCCTCCAACCCCTGCAGGTCCCTGACCGCCCCTGGGGGTCAATTTCTATGGACTTCATCACGGATCTACCCGCCAGTGATGGGGTTGATTCTGTGCTCGTTGTCATCTGCCGGTTCACCAAGATGGCGCACTTTGTACCGTGCAGGAAAACTGCCACCGCTGAGTCAACTGCAGATCTGATCTGGCACCATGTCATCCGGCTCCATGGACTCCCCGACGATATTGTATCTGACCGTGGCCCACAGTTCAACTCCCACTTCTGGAAACGTCTCTTCGCTCTCCTGGGAACCAAGGTCAACCTCTCATCGGCGTTCCATCCCCAGAGCGATGGACAAACCGAGCGGACCAATCAGATTCTTGAGCAATACCTTCGCTGCTTTTGCAACTATCAACAAGATAACTGGAAGGAACTCTTGTCTTCTGCAGAGTTCTCTTACAATAACACCATCCACTCCGCCACCCAGACAACCCCCTTCTACGCCAACTATGGGTTCCATCCTCGATTCAGTCTGGCTTCCGCCACCACAACCGAGTCCCTTAATCCTGCAGCCGAAGCTCGTGCCAACCATCTCAAGGAAATCCATGAACAGCTTGCCACTGAGCTCAAGGAGGCCCAAGGACGCATGAAGCGCTTTGCCGATGCTAAGAGGGCACCTGGCCCAGACATGAAACCCGGGGACAGTGTCTGGCTCTTACAGCGGAATCTCAAGACTCTCCGACCTTCCCAGAAACTTGATCACCCTAAGATTGGCCCCTTCACAATCATGGAGAAGATCAACTCGGTCACATATCGCCTCAAGCTTCCCCCATCCTACAAAATTCACAACGTCTTCCATGTCTCCCTTCTTGAACCACGTTTCACCATTCCGGAGCAAACTGAGCCAGAACCCACCCCACCAGAAGAAGTCGAAGGACAGGAGGAATGGATTGTGGAAGACATTCTTGACTCCCGTACTCGACGCACGCACCTTCAGTACCTCATCAAGTGGCAGGGTTGGCCAAGCTCGCAGAACACATGGGAGCCAGTGGAACACCTTGCCCGCTGTCAAGAGCTTGTTGCCCAGTTCCACCAAAAGTACCCCGACAAACCCCGACCAAAGCCTGCCAACATCAAAACAACATCCGGACGCCGTGGCTAAAGGAGGGGGTGATGTTATGGACGACGCGTCCATACCATGCGCTTACCTCATGACAGCATCCCAACAGTCAGTCAATGTCAATTCCCTGTCAAAACCTGACATCTGCCAAACCTCGCAGCCGCACGCAGCCGCGCTACCCCACACCTGCCACTGCCTTCATTTCTCCACGCAGCCGCACGTAGCCACACCTCCCAACACTCGGCGCTTACAAACCCTTCTCCATACTTCCCCACGTACCCGCCACAGCCTCAGCGTAGCCACCCCATCCCCAGTCTTCTGTTTCTATGCTTCCCCCACCCTTGGCGCTTCTCTTGGCTTCCCTCTCATTCCGTACCCTTCTGCTTCCCCACGCTTCCCCAGCCTTCCCAGAAAAGCATAAATAGCCGCCTCCCCTGAGCTCCCCACTTCCTGATCCCCCAGCAGATCAACACCAGTTCTTCCTAGTCTTGTTCTAGTTCTTGTTTCGGTCTGAATACCATTACCTGTCAACAACCTGCACCACAAGTCGCCTCTATTTCCGTCGGCTCCGCCCATTCATAACAGTCTGGACGCTGAGGCGCTGCAGGCGGTCAGGCCCTGGGGAGAAAATCCTGACTGTTGACGGAGTATGCGGGGCTCGGGGGCTCCTCCGCGGCCGAATGGAACCCTTCGTTGTCATCATCGAAGGCCTCGGCGGGCGCCGCCGAGATCTTGAGTCGGTCCGGGTTCTTAGGGCACGGTCGGGCGTAGTGGTCCTTGCTGCCGTAGGTGTGACATTCGCCTCGCTGAGTTTTCCTCTCCTTCCCAAGGGGTACTCGGATGGAGTTGAAGGTGCGGGGCGTATCGCGCTTGTCGCGAGCCTCGGCCGGAGTGGCCGTAGCGGGTTGGATCTTTTTGCCGTCTTCCGAAATGCGGGCGATCCCGTCGGCAACCCCTGATGCGGAAGGCCCTCTGGGCGGCTTCCTGAAGGGTCTTGATGGGGATGTCTTCGTCCTCATCGTCCTGTTGTAGGATGAACTGGTAACACTGCTCACGGATGCGACGTCCGACCTGGTGGAAGGTCAGCCCGTTCAGGAAGTACCCACGTTCCTGTCGCAACGTGAGATGTTCCTTTTCGGGGAGGATAGCGATCTGTGTGGTCAGTGCGTTGAAGGCCGAAACGCAGTCTGACATGCTGGCTTTGAACTTCAGGGCGGCCAGTTTTGCCTCGACCGAATGACGGAGGTTGGCGAGGTAGAACCTGCGCCTGAGTGCCTTCAGGAACCGTTCCCGGGTGGCGGGAGGCTCTCCGGAGCGAGCCTCGAGCTTCCACTACTCAGCGGCGTCTCCCAACAAGTGGGCTACAAAGTGTTTCACGTCCCTGTCCTCTGTTCTGAATTTGGTGGCTTCCAGATAGCGTAGGTGGGCGTCGACAAACTCGTCCAGTTTGGCGACCATGTCTTTACTGTTAGCCTTACCATCGAACTTGGTCAGCATCTTAGCCAAGGTGGTTCGGAACTCCTTCTCGGCTGCCGCCTTGCGCTTACGCTCTTCGCTAGCCGCCAAATGGTCCTCGCGGCTAACTTGTACTCCAGCGAAGGGGCTGTCATCTGGGCGGTCCCTCTCCAGGCGCCTCGAATCGCTGCTGGAGTTGGGCGTTGGTGTTGGCCAGCTGGGCTGGGATTTGGAGGATTGTTGCCTGTCCGTTCTCCTGTTGGGCTGGGGTACGGCTCCTGCGCCGCATGGGGGAGCGGCTTCGGGTCCTCGCCGGGGAGCGGCTGCGATAGCGGCTTGCTGAGCGGCTCCTTCGACGAGGTGGGGAGATGCTCCTGCGACCTCGTTGTCCGCGCCTGTATCGCTCTGGCGTCCGATTTTGGCGTCGGGGGTCCGGGCTTCGACGTCGACGAGGTGAGCGTGAGCGGGAGTGCCTCCTTCCAGGTGGCGACCACGGGGGTGACCCCCTGCGCCTGTGCAAGGGGCGGTTACGCTCTGCGGGGCCGTTGCCTTGGCGTTGGTCGCCGTCGAGCCGTTGCGCCCTTTGATGCGGGTGTTCAAATGGGTCAAGCTCTAAGCGTTAACTATCGCAAAGCTGACGGCGGTATTAGCACCCGTGTCATAGGCCACCCATGGGCTATACAGCCTATGGGTGGCCTATTACAGTAGCCTATGGGTCTATAGGTCATACTTCTCAACAGCCTACGGGTCAATGGCCCATAGTCCTCAACAGCCTATTCTCAGCATATGAGTCTATGGGCCACAGATCTCGTCAGCCTATCCTACAGATCTCAGCAGCCTATCGGCACGACTCCAGTCACGTGACCTCGCTGGGCCTTCTTTTATTAAACGACTTCGAGCCAATTCTTGCCAGGACTACACGAAACCCTCTCCGTTGTCTCCGGATTGGTCCTGTTACTTTGCGCGAATAACAACGTTATCGAGTGGTAGCCATTTTTAGCCATTTCATAGCCACTTCGTGGCCGTTTCGTAGCCATTTCCCTCCTCTCCATACTTTCCCTCTTTATCGAGTGAACACGCGTCTTTCACTGATTTTTATCGAGCCGTTTCGTCGAGCGTTTCAAATGGTAGCCAAGTAGCCATTTTCTGCCAGAATTCTCTCCGTATATATTAAAATGTGCTCCTCAAGGTGGTGGTCATATCCACCACCACCACCTTGTTGATCAAAATTTATACTATAACACCTTTCCAAAATAAATGGCTACTTGGCTACTTTCTATTCTCTTCATATTATTCTCTTCACTCTTCTTATCAAATTCAACCTTTCACTCGATCTAAAGTTCTTTGTCGAGTCAGAAAAAATGGCTACCTGAATGACTACGGATTGCTCTTAATGGCTACCTACCCCCGCTTCTACTTTTCCCCTCCCTACTCATACTTGTTCAATTTGATTCCTAGATATCCTCGTGACACTTTGTCTACACTTCTTTGACCAAAGTCGCCTACGCTTTTCATGATCTTTAACGAATCTTTCCATTGAACGCCCGGTTGGCTCAACAGCCACTTTTTCATATCGGCCTTTGTAACCGCTTTAAGGTTGATTTTTGCCCACTGCTGACATTTCTCAAATAGTTCCGTATTGAAGATGCGGCCTTCAGATTCAAAGGTACACATGTCATCAAAGAAGAGTTGATAAACATTCTGTTCACTGCGATATCTCTCCGTTGCTTCAACAACTGAGGTGGGCGGAGATAAAACAAAGTCGTTTTTGTCTCGCATGTTTCTGTAGCGTTTTTCAATTAACAACCACATGAATGCCGGAGCAAGACTGGTTAGTTCTTTCTTCAAACACTCATCCGCGAGATACCGATTGTTTTTCACATCTACCTCAGACTCAGCCTCGACAAATTTGGACCGCATTTCAAGCAACTCTAACCGTCTCCAAGTTGCGTGATTCGCCTCTGATATTGCCATAAGCGTATTGAGTGATAGCCAAAGTTGAGCATGCAGTACGAATGAATTTACCCCGCTTCCTTTCTCAAAGAGATCGCGTATACCATTGAAGGAATCTCCTCCCGTGTACTTTCGAAATGTTCCCATGTTAAACTGCGATGATTTTTTGCCTTCTTGGATATTGATGAATCGGACGTGTCTGGCCCTGTTCAACTCGGTGTTTGGTGCGGTAGGGTCGAATTCTGTACACAGCATTGCGGTGCTCCAAGAGGTTGCATATGGCCCTAATGCTAACTCCATAAGTTGAGTCAGCAGCGATTTTCCATTTGCGCCCTCGCCGAGAAGGATTTCAAGTTTATTGGTCCTTTTTCCTCCAAGAGCACAAGCCAGGATATCAAGAACATACTCCCGCTCGTCACGATCTGGAAGGATTTGTTGGAGAATCGTCCCAAGACGCTTCAAAATATGCACGTTTTCCGGGAGCGAAAAATCAACAAAGTCGTAATTAATCTGTATAGAGATGCGGTCTTGGGGTTTGCCATCCCTAAGATGTCCGGCGTTCAAATCGTAGACTCCATTTTTGAAGCACAGTAGCGCCAAGTCTCGACTCAAACTACATTTAAATGCGTGATAGTCTAGTTTCTGAAAATGACCAATACACGCGGATGCGATATTCTTGGATGTGGGTAAATCCGATAAACTCCGCTTGAGATTCGAGATATGTCCATCTAGATCACCACCTGTGTCGCGCCAACTTGTCAATTCGTCAAGGATTGGGAATAACTCGAACATTATTTTATGCGTCATAGAATAAGGTGAATCTTTCCAGTAATGATTTTCAAAGTGCCACCAACTATTATCTCCATAGAAGAAATCGTTTCTCCATAATTCGGAGATGAATTGAGCACATGCCGCGTGAGACTTTTCACAGATCATGCTCTTTGCTAGTTCGTCAAGACGTGGATTTTCTGGGTACAGAGGTTCGAGAAATAAAGGCTCTTTCTCCTCGGTTGATTCAGCAAATACCGTGTTCTCATCCACGATGGGAAATAATTGGTGATGATCATTATCCGCAATTAAACCAAATCTTTCATAGTAGGAGGCGGGAACTTCCATAGGTTTAATGGCTATCCTCATCTGCATTTGAGTTTTGTCAAAGATGTATTGCTCGCATGCTCGCAAGTGTTCAGGGGTAAGAGGATTTTCGGGATCTTTACGAATCTGGCAACCATCAGAAATGAGAACATCGGGACGAAACTTTGCATTAAGAAAGTAGTGGTGCATAAGGAGCAGCATCGTGTTTTCGGTCGTTTGGCACACCTGCGAGAAAAATGATCCTTCGCGGTTATTGACTGTTTTCGGTTTTCGAGATTTCAAAACTTTTTGCCAAATATCAGGGTTTTCCTCCTCAAGGATGGGGACGAGTTTCTCATAAATGGCACGGTGAATGGCTTTGAGATCGGGGTGACAATTTACCGCGTTAACGGTGTTGAGTACCGCAATCCACATCATGTTTCTCCATATTCCATTTTTTAAGACAGTCCTGTCGATTTTCAACATAGTATTGCATTTGCGGAACAATTAGATTGCGTTGAAGGAGAAACTGATTGGCAATAGTCGGCTGACAGTTTACAAAATCGACGTCGTCATATTGCCCGCAAGACAGATACTGTCTATGCTGGGTTTCGCGTGCGGGCATTTGCTGCAACGAGAAATGATTTGGTACAAGTCGCCCACTTGCAATTTCCAAAGCATCTTTTCCATGATTATATTCGACTTTGTACGTATTTGGTGCAACTTTGAATCTTTTCATATATCGAAGCCCGTTTTTAGTCTTTGCGTCCACGTATTTGCTTGTAATCAAGTTCTGAACTCGACCGTCATGTTGGAACTCGTGCTTGACGAGGGGAAGGTCAAATTTTTCATGATAAAGGTGGTCATCTTGGTCATCTTGGTCATTATCAACTTCACCTCGGTATGTTACACCTGGAATGTTCGGTAAATGGGTGCTTTCCATGTCCCTTTCCGAAGAATGAGCCTCTTCACTGCTTTCACTACATACGATACTAGTATTGATGATATCGCTTCCATTCTCTCCAATAGATAGATGCGATTCCCTCCCAGCAAAGGGAATTGCTTCTTCTTCGATCTTTCTTGCGAGATCATAATCCCCAGCGCTTATTGCACGGTCACGTCGGACTCGGTCGTTTACACGCAAACGTTTAGAAGACTTGACAAACCTGATGTCCATTGCCGCGCGTTTTTCCCCAGTTAGAGCTTGTTTGTGTTGAGTCATTGCTTTATTCTTAATACAATCAATACTTTAAATGGCATTTAAACGCAGGTGATTTCATAATATTTATATTGATTAATAAAGCAACATCGGAAATGCTTAGTCCGTTCACATATACAGCGGACATATCCTTTTATGACAGAGAAATTAAACAAATCGATGGAAAGAGCCTTCGCGACTTGGCAAAGAAACTGAATCTGTGCCAATGTACAGTTCTGGACATTATCGCTCGAAAACCAACATGCCGATCTGCAAGAAACATCTCCATTACTCGGAAGGTGAAAAAGGTGGACAACGGGTGAGAACATCAATCGCTATCCGGTTCAAGTTGAAACCCAACTGGGAGTTCAATTTTTTTCATGAAATGGGTTAAACAGTACATCCGTCTGGGTTGAAATGGAATAATTTCATTGCAAGTTTCTTCCTTGCATTTTCGTGTTCTCGGTGGAATGAGGGGTCTTCCATTTGACGGGTGCTTCATAGGCCGTCCACGGATCGTTTCTCTGGGCATAATAAAAAGAAGTTATAAGTTACTCTGTCGATTGCTTTAAATAATGAGCAAACGCAATTTTACCATTTTTTGGACGCAAGTTCCAAGATCTTGTCCCAAGAAACCGACAAGGCTTGGGCCTTTGCAAGGTGTTCCGTTAAGTGAACTCGAAAAGATTCCAAATGAAAGCGAACATCTTCACTTAAATTGTCGGATTCCAGAAGTTCGCCGATATTTGCTGCAAGCGATTCGGTATCGTTTGTGAGCGCTTTTACGCTGGGACTGTATGTAGGGATATTATCCATTTTGAATGCAGTAATGCTTATCGGAAAGTGCAATATCCAACTTTGAAAGTGGATTCGAGAAAGGGAAAGCGTACGTCTTAGTGTCGCTCGCATTCACCGTCCGAATGTAATGTGGACAGAGAGCGCGTTTCGTGTTTAAAGTAATACCAGGTCGCTGCGGAAATCATTCAGTTTCTTGGAAGATTCACCGGGTGGATTTGAGAAACGAGACTGGAATAAACACCGAACTGGACATTCCACAAACATCAATAAGACCTGTAACTTTATCAATGTCGTTCAGAGAAGGACACGACGAAACAGATTGTAAGAATCGCAAATTTCGAGATACTTTGATCCCAGGCTATACTCACGATTTTTTGTTGCGGTTTGTAGCAATTGGAATCGACAAAAATGAACTGCTTTCCACGGAATCTGATACCGAGCAAAATGTCCTTTTCACAGGGACAAACAATTCTGTCAAAATAACCGAACCTGCACCTGCTGAGATTGCGAGTACAGAAGATACAAACCATCAATCCGGCAAAGCCAAAAGGAAAAGGCGCACTGCGGACGAACAACTAAAGAAAATGCAAGAACAAATCGCAGCCAGGGAACGGAAAGCATTCGAAAAGATTCAGAAAGCGAAGGAGAAGATGAAAGAGTTGGAAAACAAAGTTGAAAAGGAGAAGATATCTTCCAGAAGGAACAGTGAAGGGGAACAACGGAGTGGTCAGTCAACTCCTCGTAAACGTCGTGGAAGCAAATCCGTGTTCAGCAAACCGTATGTGAGCACTTCGGATGATAATTCGGACAACGATGCTACTGGCATGAACCGACCGGAGTACGAAAACCCAGAAAGTAGTCGTCATTTATCACCTCCCAAGCAGCAAACAGTGAAAAAGAATTCACGTCAAGTGTCTATTGAACCTTCTGGCGATAATAAGTACCCCTCGCGGCAATCTCGTGGATCACCCACCGATTCCGATTCCGAAGATGATGGTGATGATGATAGCAAAGATGACATTGACGACGAAGATTTGAGTGACAACGAGAATGGGTCTGGATTGTCACTGGAGGAACAAATGCGAAGAATTCATGAAAAGCAGAAGAAAAAAGAAGAGAAAAGGGAAAGGCTGGCTCAGGATCGCGCTGCTGCAAAACGGATGAAACAGGAAAGAATGGAGCAAAAAAGAAAGGCCGCAGCCGATAGACGTGAGGGTAAACGACCAGCACAACCTGACACATTCACTCCTGCCGTGAAGCGTTCAAAAGGTAGTACCTACTCAATCTATTCCATCACGCGAATTGTATTGACAAGAATGTTATTTTCTTCTTCTCGTTACCAGTGGATCGTGGAGAGTCATCTAGCAGCGCGATGGTTAAAAGCAGTGGAAATTCCAGTGTTTTGGGGGATCAGAGTATGACCGAAATGCTTCTGCAAGAATTGAAAAAGGGATTCGATGGCATAACGGATGCGATTGGCGACATGAACAAAAACATCATCATCTTGAACGACAAGATGTCTGGCGAGAGCAATATCAAAAAAGTTCCCTCCGAAATCGACGGATTTCGCACGGATTGGTTTTTCGAGTTCCTCGATAATGTGACAACCGAATCTCAATCGGGTCAAGTTAAAATCCGGGATCTTGCCGATTATTTCCACCCTTGGGTAGATGTAACGCATCCAATATGGGCTCAAATGCATCCACATTATTGCACAAAGCCCCGTTCGAGAATCTCCTTCTTGATCGACATAGTCAAGATCATTATCGAGGGAGAGGGCGAGAAGCAATTGACTTACATCGCAAAATTGAATGGCCGCACAGATTTGCTATCTGGGAGGAAAATGAAGGACTTGTCCAAAAACGGAAAAGGTGACTCCGATGTGTCATGACATCATCATGACTTAAATCATATCAACTTACCGAGTTTAATTGTAATAGGATCGTAATCTCGATGACATCCAATTAAGCATAAGTAGGCCGATTTTTTATATCGGCCATAGAACTATTTTCTGGTATAAACATATACACGTTTATAATAGAGAATAATGTCAGACAACAATCAAAACCCCGCTTTCAACCATAAATTCTGCCTAAGTGTGCTCAATCGCATTAAGGACAGCAATAAGGATCACAGATCCATGGTTTCGTCCTGTAACGTACTGAGCGATCAACTTCATCTTGTAAAAAAGCCTAAAGATCTACTTTCGTCAATCGAGAAAAAATGGTCGAATAAGCATACCCGCGCCAATAAAGTGAAGTTTCTCTCGAAAGTCCTTAGAAATATGAGCGCTAAAGAAAAGCGGATTCTTTTTGATAATGAAAAAGATCTTAGCGACGAGATGGTCGATAAGCAATTCAATGAGGATATCCTCGAACACTTCACCAAGATGTCCCTTTCTCCTGAAGAAAAAGAGAAACGCCAAAAGGGAAACGATGAACAAAAAATGACCGAACTGGATCTTGAAAACTATGTTCCGTTTCTTGATATAGTCGGCAAAATCAAAGAAGTCCTTTCCACGCTTACAAGTGAGAATATTATCAAGAATCAAATGCTTGTTGCCCTGATCATATTTTGGTCAAGCGATAAAATGTTGAGAGGGGATATCTCCACCACATGTTTCGATCAAAACGCGGATGTTTACATTGAGAGTGACTGTTCTAAAATAGTTGTCAAAGATGCAAACAAGACAGGTCGTTCCCACGAAATCAATCTGAAAGGTAACGGGAGAAAGTATGCGAAAATGCTTATGGAGGCTCGACAAAAGGCCGGTCAGAACTACCTTTTCTGCAAACAGAACGGAGGCGATCCAACAGATGAATGGTTTCTGAATAGATTCGCGGATGTTATGGAAAAAATGTTCAAAAAGCGCCGTTTGACTGTTTGGAGATTTCGTCAAAGTCTCGGTATCTATCTGAGCGAGAAGGACAATGGCGACTTGGAATATCAAAGGAAAATTGAGAAAAGACTCGATCATACTTACTCGGTTCATCAACAATACTATAATCGATACAAGTCTTTGATCTTTGACAAGAAATGATTTGACCTAGCGCCTATTACGATTCTCGAATTCTCGAATTAGATCTGGCGCATTTATGTTGCTCACACGTTCCCAAGTACTTTGTTCGATAGGATAGTCTTTGTATTTTACTAGATATTCAATGAATGTTCGTCTTCCCACTTTGACTCTTCTATTATCAATAATGTACTCCACTTCGTATTCTCTGTCTTTATTGATTCGTCCCGAACGTCTGGAAGGATGTTCTTCCTCGTCCTCTTCTTCTATGTTTGCCGGAGCATCTTCTCCACCATCTTGTCTGTTGTCGTCTTCGTCTAAAATTTGTCTCCTATCGATACGATGATCACTGAACGGAACTTTGAGAAGTTGCGCTCGCGACCACAATCCTTTGAGTATGGTTCCGTTTGCGTCTTTGAGTTTATAACTCGGTAACGCGTTCGGGTAAGGACTTTGAACAACGGATGTCACTTCATACAAATTGTTTATGTCGAAATATCCGAGCCGCGACGCTTTCTTGATACCGCTTCCAGAATATTGGAGTACTCTACAAACTTTGTCGCCCTCATGGAGCAAGGTCGCTCCACGAGTTTGTACTGATCTATTTGCTCTGTTTATAATGTTCTCCCCAGCCTGTTTATGAATTTCCGAATCTGCAGCGGTTTCCTCCAGTTCGTTTGGACTTTTTCTTGTTGTACTGTTGAATGTATTGTTCAAATTATCGACCAGTTTGTCTAGCATGTCTGGCCAATCTCTTTTCCCCGTCGTTTCCATATAAGTTACGCATGCTTTTCGTACCGCAAAATTGCTTCTTTCTATAAGTCCGTTAGAAAACGGTTGACCCGGACGAGGGACATCATGTCGCACTCCTTGCTCCCGAAGAAGTTCTGAAAAAACATTTTGGAACTCGGTTCCGTTATCGGTTTGCAATCGATCAAAGACAATATTAGGATTTTGTGCGAGAATCTCTCGGAGGACTCGGGTACATTCGGCAGCGGATTTTGTACGTATCGGCTTCGCGTATAACTTTCTACTGAAAGTATCTATCATTGAAAAGATTGCCGTGAAACCGCGATAACTTTCACTTTCCATTGCTAAAGTATCCGCTTGGAATGATCCATGCTTGGTGGAGACAATCGCTCTGACGCCAGTAAATCAGAGCGGGCGAGTGAATTTCTGATGGATTTCTTGCTTATCCAGGTAATCCATTATTTGGCGTCTGGAGATGTCCGACCCGAGTTTTTGAGTTAGAAAAAACAGTCTATCCCGACCCTGTATATTATGTTTCTTGTAGTAAAGATCGTTGATGAATCTCAATTGCTCTTCGGTTAAAGGAGGAGCCATTAGTTTGTTTATCAATTGACCACAAATTAATGTTGTGGTCAATTTTTTGTCATTGTTCGGTAAAAATTGATAAAAATACCTGAACCTTTTCTCGGGCAATGAGCGCTCAGTCAAGAGGTCATACTATATAGGCAAGATTCGAAAAGCCTGAAAAGCACAACCCAAATAGTAAATGGCATTATTTGTTCAGGAGTTGGCCGTGCGGAAGTTGTCTTTGTTGCTCAACTTGCAGGATAATAGTTTTACGTCATATTTAGGACGGAGATCTTAAAAATCTTCAAGCGGCCTTTGTTCTTCTTGGAGTTTTGACTGGAACCTGCTTGTCCAAATGCGACTGAACGATATTCACAACTATTTCTTCCTTACATTGTTGTAAAGTTCTCGTCCTTACGTCCTCCGGCATATCTAACCAAAGCCTATCCTGTGATAAGTTTGTCAAAAGATTCTTTGGTTAGCGAATTTGGCAAATAGAAAATGTTATCAAACATCTTATACTTTAAGTCCACAATTTTTTCTTTAATGCGTTTCTGGTTGCAATTGTTTAAAGACTCCTTCGTTTGTCGGGCTTTTCAAATCTATGTAGAGCGCATGGTAAGGATTGACAGTATATCTCTCGGCTAAATCTACAAACTCCGACTCGGACAAATGACAGCGAATCTCACCCGCAATCTTTTCGTATTGCTTTTGGTTCAATCTGTACAATATCCAATGAGTGCTGTTGACTCTTTGTAACGGTGTGAGTTGTTTTGTATCATGAAGAGAACAGAGAACCGACATTCCATTATGTCTCGCCCTGGAGTACAGTAAATCCAGCATTTGCCTAACCCCGCTCGATATCAGTTCCGGTTCTTTAGGTTCCTTTCCAATTGCGGGGCCGTTTTCTTTTGCGAGGATACCAAAATCATCCAAAATTAACAGCATATGATTTTTGGATTTATCTTGTTTATAAAGTAGTTTCTGTTTCTCAAAAAGGTTGTTCAGAATATGATTTGATACAACGCTGGACATGTAAACGTTATCGCATTTCTTCAAACTTGTCCATTCCGGTGAGTCAGCACTTGGAGAGAAAACCACCACCGTTTGATACGCTTTTGCACAATTCTGGATAAGATTGATAATACAGGTGGTCTTTCCAGCCCTACTGCTTCCCACCAGCGTTAATGTGAAAAACTTTTTTGGATAATCACTCGGAGTTTTGTCCTTTATGTGTATCTGATATTCGGAAGGAATTTTCGGTTTAGCAATTCTCATATTTAGCGCACTCGTAAAATTAATCTCTTTACATTATACCAAAGATAAGAAATCGATGTTTCGAGAGATTATCCTCAATTCTGGTACGTTACCAGATATGAATAATTGTACATTTCGTCTTCAAAATACCGTCCCGTGCTATGCATGGAGACTTATTTCGGTATCTCTACTGCAGTCATGGAGTGCGACATCGGATTTTAACAACGCGGTTGTTTTTGCTGAGTCGGGATCTACGACTTTAAGAAAAGCGACTTTGCCCGAAGGGACGTACGATTCAACAAACATTTTGAGTGCTCTTGGAAGCGCAATGACTGCAGCGGGATCACAACCGTACAGTGTGTCTTACGATGGAGTGACTCGAAGACTAACTGTTTCGACCTCTGGAAGTAAAACGTTCAAGATCCTCGGAGGATCCCGTGGTTCAAGCGCTTTTCTGCAACTTGGTATCGATAAAGTGAATGAAACCGGATATGGATCAAGTATAACATTTCCAAACACACTCAATCTATCCGCATCACAACCAATTCTAATAACTTCAAGGACTCTACAGACAAATGGAGCGATTCTTTATCCGGCTGGTATTGACTCGGACATCAATTGTTTAGCAGCGATTAAATCCTGATTCGTATGGAGATATCTTGACATGGGTCAACCCGAGTGACAACTTTCATCGAGCCGAAGATCTTACACTCAATCAAATTGATTTCCAAATCGTCGATAGTGCATCGTTGCAAGTTGTGAGAACATCCGCTCCAATAACAGTTCATCTGGGAATTTTAGACGACCCTAGTGACCTCGTTGTATAACGAATTTTTTTTCTCTTCTGTACAGTAAAACATTGAACAAAATGTCAGAAAACAAAAGCGCATCTACTGAAAACCCTCCTGTACAGGAAGAAAAACCAATTGTTGACGACCCGATCACCGAGGCTGTTATTGAAAAGGTGAAGGTCAAAAAGCCGCGATCTGAAAAGCAGATCGAAGCAATGCGTCGAGCGCAAGAGAAACGTACCGAGAACTTGAAGAAGATGAAGGAACTAAAAGAGAAAGCAGATAAAGAACAGGAAAAGGAGCAAGACAAAAGGGCAAAAGAATCTAAAAAAGACGAAGCAAGAAAGATAATTGAGAAATATGAAGCGGAAAAAAAGAAAATCGCTGAACAAAAGCGACAAGAGCGTATAGCAAAAATCAATCGAATGCCGAAAGCGCTTCAACCTGCTGCGTACAAAGACGACTCTGTGGAGGAAAACACGTTTGTAGAATTTGATCCTCCCGAAGCAGATGATGACCCGTATATGGGAATCTTCGGTGGACGTTGATGGACCTCGATTATTTTTTTCTAAGAGATATGTTAAACCATTATAACTTAAAATAATGTCAACAAATCCCGTTGTTCCTTCAAACCGGATCTATAGTAGCAGACAATTTTCGATGCATTCAGACGCTCTCAGCGAAAATATTGCGATTTATGGCCCAATCAAGGAGACGTTTAGTTCAAAATCACCTGGAAATGCTATAAAGATCGTAGTTGATTCCAATAGTTCCTTTTTGAGACCTCAACGTTCGTATCTATCGGGAACAATTTCTGTTAAAAACGCGGATGGCAGCCCCGTCACGGATGCGCAGATTTCTCAAATCGGGGCGATGGCTTGCTTCCGAACGATGAACATAAAGTTTGGCGGAAAAGTTGTTGACGAAATTGAAGATATGCCAAGTTTTGTTGCGGACACTCTCCAGTTTGTGGAGGCAGAAAAACGAAAATACCTAAAATATAACGAAGGTGCAGGTAACCCGGATGCTTTCAAAAATCCGAACGGAACTTTCACATTCAAACACCATTTGTTGGCAGGGTCCATGAGGCCGTTGAACGGAAACCCGATTCCACTAGCTATTTTACCAAATCAATCAGTGGAATTAACTTTCACTTTGAATACCCCGCAGAGTGCCTTTTCAAATATAGGTTCTGGAGTATACTTTGAAGTTTCAAATCTTCGTTATGTAGCACAACTTTTGACCCCGAGTGCCACTTATATGTCCGCATTGTGGTCCGGTATAAAATCAGGAAAATATCTGGAAATGGATGTCGTTTCAGTTTCGCAGTTATCCAATGTATGCAGTGGTGCGTCACAGAACAATTTCATCCTCCCACTCACAAACGGCCGGATCGTCGGATTAACACATAGGTTTAGAGACGATAATAAATACGCCACTACATCAGGGGACAAATCTCTGATTTATGATACAGCCAACTTGAAGTCATGGAGATACCAGATAGGCCAATATAGATTACCTTTGACCGAAGATTTCCAAATAGAAGATACGGTTATGATAGGCAACCTCTCCATGAACGACAATACATCATACGCCTCTGAAGACCTGGACCTCGATAACTTTTACAACAAACAGTTCGTAATGCGTTATTCGTGGCAAAGCGCAGATGAAGATTCCAGTAGCGCTTTGAACCTACTTGGAGGCTCCGGAAACGTACATCTAATTACGACACATAATTTACCCGCCCCTAGTACCGCCGTCGCATTGCAAACAACCGTCTATTCACAACGCACCATCTTGATTGGAGCAACCGTCGATATTATAGGTTAAAAATCTTCTAATCATATAGTAGAAACCAATGCCGAGAAAACAAAAGGTTTTGAAACCAGTTCGCATACCTGCTAGAACAAAATCGGGAAAACCGAAAAAAGGTGTAATCCCTCCACAACTGCTTCCATTTATCCTTGCTCGACGAGCCGGGAAGACGATCGTTTAAAACTTATGCGCTTTTGTACATTTCAGAATTTTATGATTCTCAAATATTACAATTATAATCCTCTATACAATGATGATCTTTTCATCTTATACTTTTCGTGCCCGTTTTGAAGATTGTTCCCAGCCGTGTTCATAAGATAATCTCTCGGGAGGTAAACTTGCTCGTGTACTTTTCTTTTCCTTATTGGCGCAATGGGTGTATTTTCTGAAGCCCTCACTGCTGGGGAATCGGTGAAGATATCTCTCTGTGTTGGTGTTGCAGAATCCTCATTTGGGGAAAGAACTTGAGTAATCGGTTCGGCGGTAACAAATTGTTCAATTGGTGTGGAGAGATCCATACGGGATCCTACCGTTCCAGTTGAAAGGGTAGATTTTGGACTCCTATTCAGGAAAATGTCGCTTTGAGTGACTGCTGAACTGGCAGATGGATAACTTATTGTTGGTGAGAAATTCGTAATAATGGGTGGTGGGCGTGGTCTAGCAACCCGCGGCACATCTCCAAGAGAATATTGTGTCCCTACATCTTTGCTTTCTGTAATCTTTTCCTTTCTTAAAGTTTCTATCAATCTTTGCATCGCTCCTACTTCACTTAATGCGATAGGTGTGACGCTTTGCACTTGGCTGAGAAGTCGTTCCATCTCGTCCGGCGTCATTGTCGAAGGAACATTTTTAAAACCTACCGATTCTAACATTCTTTTGAACGTAGACATTGTGGCTGTTGTCATTCTTCCAAGTTGCTCTTCTTGGGATCGGAGTTGTGTTTGCAAGGTTTGATTCGCGTGAGTTACTCCATCCATAAAATGTGTAAATTTTCCTCCAGACGAGAATGTAAGATCTAACGTATCGCTGTCTAGATCCGGTGTTGTACTCTGCGTTCCAACTGTTCTAAGATCTCGAACCCGATGGAGAGGAATATCTGTCTGTGTGCGGCTATTTGACATGCTTATCTTTTCAGCAGAACCGATTCTACCAATTTCGTCCGTCAATGTTTCACGATCGTTCATTTTTGTTACCACCTTGTTGTTACCAAGTATCGTATTTGCTTCACTCATGTTTGCTTTTTCCGGAAGGTGATCATCACCGGTTCGTTGCACATTGGATGATGCATCTCCGATGAATTGATTCTGTTGAGCGCGAATGTAACTCGGCTGATGGTAAATTGTATTGCCTTTCGACGCTGTGGTTTTCGTCAAAGAAACCGTTCGACCTTGTCGAGGGAAAAGATTGTCTTTATCCAATTCATCAAAGTATGCTTGTCTTGCACGTTCCTTATCGATAGCATGGAGCGCTTCCACAGCCTGTTTTGCAATCTGAGACTGGTACTCTCCTTCACGGAGTTTGAGTGGTTGATCTACAGTCTTTTTTATAGAGAATGCATCCGATATTTTCCCTTTGCCTGGAACGAAGAAGGGAGTTTTGAATAAACGGTCAAAGGTCTCTTCCGGCTTTCCCTGTATGTAACCGAACTGATTTGAATGGATATTCAACACTGGAGGGGAGGGAAAAGTATTGTTTGGCAATCGAGCAAACTTGTCGTCAAGAACCAACATAGAATGGAATATATATTCTTTAGTACATGTTAAGAAAAAGAATATTCAATGGGATTCTTTCAAAAAGCGAGAGGAAAAGTGCGCACATTTTTCAACGAACTGCCACAAAATATCGGAAAGGCGAGGAATTTTCTAGACAAAGCGGTTTCCGTTAGTCGAAAGGGATATGCGATAGCAAGCCATGTAAACAAAGGGATTCAACAGAATGACGTCTTCCACGATAAAATCAAAGAAACTGCGCGAAAAGGGCAACAGTTTGCAGATCTAGGAATAAAGAGGGTTGAAGATTTCCATAAAGGCGGTGATCAATTCTTAGAACATTTACAGCAAACTCCAATCGGATAATTTTCTTTAGCAATTAGTAAATGAGCAGTCTAAATTCCCGAACCTCAAGCGGAATCAGAGTGCTTGAACGAACAAATCTCGTTTCTCCTTTAGTGACCAATAGTCTTCGTGCTAATGGAGAGAACGTATCAATTGATAATTTTCATTCACCAGGCTTTCAAAAGATATCTAATGAAAACGGCGAATTAAAAATCAACGACCTTGTCGATAGCAAAGACGCGATTATTCACAAAACCGAAGGAGTGGCTTCAATTGAATTAGTCCATGACAATATGGAATTTCCCCTCCAAAGGGATGACGGAAGCCGAACTGTTTCCCTTTTGACAAACCTGCCTCTTGGAGTAAGTCAGGACGGATTGACTTTGTTTCATGATCAGACTCTTTCAATGAGCAATGAAGGTTTGACTGTAAATTTTCCCCCGCCTGAACTGGAAAATCTTCAAGAACCCCTGTCAAGAGACGATGGACTTAAATTGAATTTTGATGATTCATTAGAGGTCAATAATGGTAAATTGAAAGTTGTCAAAGAGCCTTTGACAGCCCCGATGACGCGTAACGTACAAGGAATCTCTTTGGATATTGACTCCACATTGACAGTTGAAAACGGTCAGTTGTCTGTTGTTCCAGAGAACATTCAGGCGATCGTTGATCAATCTTTGGAGGTAGCAGAACCGCTCTCGAAAGATCAGGACAAGGTTATCCACCTCAATTATGGGAAAGGGTTGAAAGTAAACGATGAAGGGAAACTGGAGACGGATATTGATACAGTGATTGTTGGACGAGGGGCAATCTTGAATGATAAAGGTTCCAGTATCTTGCTCGAAGATGTCCTACAAGAAGGGTTTGATTCCCTTGCGGATTTTCTAGGAGATGATACGGATGTTGATACAACTGTTGTGCGTTTGAAGACGACTGATGATTTCCAGCAAACAGGAGGAAAACTAGCGATCCGTTCGAAGGGTATGAGGCAAGTACCATTCTATTCTGCATTATCGGGGTTGAATGGAGACAGTGGTTTTACGTATAATGAAACACTCAATGAATTACATGTTCCGCATATATACGTCAATACCGACTTCAATCCGGACAATAATCAAGTGCCAAGTACTGCATACGTGGAGCAACTGTATCAAGCAGGGTCAGGTATAGACATATCCGGAGTGTCCAATGGACGGCGTACTATCGATGTTAGAACAGATGCAAGTTTAGCAATTGACTCTTCACAAAATCTTTTGGTAAATCCGTCGGCTATCGTCGACAATAAAGGTGTTCGCATTGTAAACGATAAGATTGCGATAGGACTGACTTTTCAACCTGGAAATGGCGGAATGAAATTAGAGAATTCGAATCAAGTGAAACTCGCTCCATCTGTCTCAGGTGCAATCACATTCGATGGTAACAACACGTTCGGTGAGAAACTCACAGCAAGTAATGGAGTCAAACGCATAGAAAATGATTTGCAGTTGGATTTACAGGCTGGTGATTCGACTGTTACGGTGACAGGCAACTCAATAAGAGGTGCCTATACTGGATCAAATGGGGTGACCGTTACAGGGAATAATATTTCCGGCGCCTATACGGCTGGAAACAATATCAGTATAAGTGGATCGACAATATCATGTACATACCAACCAGAACCAGAAACGCCAAATGTACTAACTGGAACGTTGCCTATCATCGTCACGGGAGCGGATAAGGAGTATAACATCGCAAAACAGCCTTTAGTCATAACGGGCGGAAGTGGCATTTTGGTAGTTGGCTCCGAGGAAACCGGGTTCAATATCTCATCAAATTCAGCCCTACAAGAACCGGAAAGAAGATGATGATCCGGAAGAGAAAGACGAAACCTCAGTGCCCAGTGGCGAATCTGATCCTTTAACTGCTTCCGGAAACCCCGTAGTCTCCGTCACTGGTCCCCTTTCTACCATCCTTGGAGGCGCAATTGGCCTCATTGGGCCTGCGGCTGGCACTCCATTTGCCACATCTGCTATCGGAAGCGTTGGGGGACTTCTCGGAGGACCTGCTGCAGCAGCCGGAATCCTTGGTGGTTTCATCGCTGCGAGTGGTCGAGAAAGAAAGAACCAGAAAGACGCAAATGGCAACAATGTAGTGGATTCAAAGGGAAACCCCGTTCCAGATCCAAACGGTTCACAAGTTATCATTGCAACTCTCCCAAAAACGGATGATACATCCTGTGATGTTACGAGATTACTTTTTGACACCCCACCTCCATGTTCATATCTGGGTATTGCAGGAGAGGTACCACAGCAGGCAATCAACTTGGATATGCTACGTCAATACGACTCTACAATAATACAGCCAACGTATTCAAATTTGATCAGTCAGAATACAAATCTTCTTCAGACTGCTATCGATGGTAAAGTTGCAAAAACGGATACCATTCCGTATGCGAGAATAACGGGTGCTCCAGATCTCACCATCTACGAGAAGAAATTAACATTTGCTGGACCTATTATTTCCAGAGATACATCTAACACTGTTTCCGTCAATACCTCAAATATCACTACTCTTGGAACACTCACATCTCTTAACGTAACAGGCGCTTTGACCGCCGGCTCCATAAGCAGTCCTACCTTGACAAATTATCTTACAACAGCAAATGCAGCCACAACGTATCAACCACTTAATGCTCGTCTTACAAATTTTGGGAACATTGCACCGACAAATACTTTTATGCTCATCGCATCGGGTGGGAACTTCATTCAGTACAGTCCTGCAGACGTTCGTGCGAATCTCTCATTAAAAAATCTGAGTTTGCTCGATACGTTAGACTACACTAGTTCGGCGTTGGTGAACAAACCGAATTTGGGCAGTCTCTCCGCGCTAAATAGCATTGATTACACAAGTACATACATAACAGGAAAACCTACGCTTGGTTCACTTGCAGCACTCAACAGCATTGACTATGCTTCGGCTTTACTTACAAACAAGCCTACACTTGGCAGTTTGGCGGCTAAATCCGTTATAAATCTTGCAAGTTCAGATGTGAGTGGGGTCCTTTCCGTTGCCAGTATCGATCCTAACATTGTTATTGCAGGAACGGGTTTAACTAAAACTGCTCAGACTTTAAGTGTCAATCCTGTACAAACACAAATTACAAGTATCGGTACTTTAACGGGCCTTTCCGTTTCTGGTTCTAGCACATTTACAGGTGCAGTCACTGTTCCTACACCTACAATTGCAGCAAATCCCGCAACAAAATCATATGTGGATGGATTGATTTCTACAATGCAAACGGGAGCGCAACCACTAAATGGAAAATTGACTGCTATTTCTTCGAGCACCGCCACTCTCAACAATTTCCTTGTAGGAGATGGAAGTAATTTTGTCTCAACGACTCCATCAGCATCTAGGACAGCATTAGGGCTCGGGTCATTAGCGGTCAAAAGTGTAGTAGACCTCTCTACCGACGTGGGAACCAGCGTCCTTCCATATAGTAATATTGATCAAACGGTTGCCCAAAAGTCATACGTCGATGGTTTAGTCTCAACTGCTGGAACGGGATTGACAAAAACAGGAAACAATTTCTCTGTCAATGTGGCTCAACCTCAGATAACATCTCTTGGGACCCTATCATCATTGAGCGTTAATGGAAATGCGAACTTTGCTGGAGATGTCACGGTGTCAGGAAATGTAGTTGTATCAACTGTCCCGACATTGGGGACACATCTTACAAATAAGACTTATGTTGATACGCTTCTAAGTGCAGGAACCGGTTTAACACGTACAGGAAACAATTTCTCTGTCAATGTGGCTCAACCTCAGATAACATCGGTTGGAACTTTATCATCATTGAACGTTAATGGAAATGCGATCTTTGCTGGAGATGTCACGGTGTCAGGAAACGCTGTCGTCTCAACAGCACCGACCTTAGCAACTCATCTTACAAACAAGACATATGTTGATACGCTTCTTAGTGCTGGAACAGGATTGACACGTAGTGGAAATGCGTTCAGCGTAAATCCTGCTCAGCCTCAAATTACAAGCGTTGGAACTCTATCATCTTTGAATGTTGGTGGAAATGCGAACTTATCCAATGTTCAAATTGCCGGAACGACTGATTCTACCTCGACCACATCAGGTGCGCTCCAAGTTGTTTGAGGAGTTGGTGTGGGGAAAAGTGTGGTGGTTGGCGGCACCGTATTCCTAGGAGGAACAACAGCGAACCTGAATACCACAACAGGACAGACTTTGAATATAAATAACGCTGCATCGACTGTAGTTACTTCTACTCTTGACTCCAACGTTATAAATGCTGGTGCTCTCCAAGTTGCAGGCGGCGTTGGAGTTGCTAAATCATTATACGTCGGTGGATATGGAATCATAAAAGAATCTACAGCCGGAAATGGACCTTCTGTAGGTCTTATAAACTCAAACGGTGGAGGTTGGACTTTGTGGCATATAGGTCGAATTAGTGGCCTTGGAACTAATAATTTCGGCTTATACAACAATACTGCCGCAAATCTTGCGTTATGGGTGAATGTGACAACGAATGCACTAACTATCAATTCGGTATCCGACTCCAACGCTACAAATGCTGGCGCTTTACAGGTCGCCGGAGGTGTTGGTATCGCCAAGAAATTGACGGTAGGAAGTGATGGGAGTTTTGTCGGGTCAAATCAAAGTATCTTCTGGTACAACGGTTCGGTATCAACACCCACATTTGGAAGCAGCATAACGGGCAACGTTTCAGCAGCAGGGTATTTTTCCTCAAATTCGGCTATTGGCGATATGGTAATTCGGGCACAGTACAATAATTCACCGACAAACTTACGATTCGCTATCTCACCCGGCGTATCAAACCTTGATATATTGACAAATGGAAATGTTCTAATCAATACAACAACGGACTCCTCTTCTACAACAACTGGCGCTCTAACAGTTGCTGGAGGTCTAGGTGTGGGAAAATCTCTATTTGCTGGTTCAGCCGCCACGGGAAGTCATACACTGCAAGTAAACTCAACTTCTGTTGATATTTTGAAACTTCAGAGTCTTTCGGCATCTGGGTTTTCTACTATCGGTTTCCTTAACAACACAGGAACGGTAGTGGGGGCTTTTGGTTACGCAGGAGTCAATACGACCGCTCCAAATGCTGGGAACTTTTTTCTCTATTCCGGTTCGAATGCCAATTTCATAATCAACTCTAATCTGCCATCTGTACAGATTCTTTCCACTATAGATTCTACTACGACAACATCAGGTTCCCTTCAGGTGAGAGGTGGAGCGGGTATTGCAGGGAATGTCAATTTTGGTAAAGACTTGACTGTTAACGGCACCATATACTCCAATATCGCCTCAACCGGACCTATTGTTAGCAGCCATCTTGGGACACCGAACTTGGCAGCGGGGAGTTTCTCAACACTTCAAATTGGAGTAGGAGCGGCTACAAATAACATGGCCAGGGTATATTTCAACTATGTTGGAGCGGGTCTTGCAACCAATACGTTGGGTTTGGGATTATGGAATGCACCACAAGGTCTTACAATTGATGGTACGGGAAAGGTTATTATTCCTAATGGTTCTATCGGCAGTTTGACAGTTACAGGAAACATGACTTTCACCGGGAGTTTAGCAACAATTTCTGCTACAGGTTCACAAGGTCCTCTCTCCATAGACCCAAATCAGTCTTCCAATCCTTATATCAGAGTATGGGACGACTTGAGAACTGTAGGAGATTTTTCCGTGTGGAATTCGGCCGAAAATACCACTTGGTCTAAAGTCTCCACCAGCAGTGGTAACGTCGCGGTCTTTACCACAACGGATTCTACAGGAGTAGGAACCGGTTCTTTCCAAGTTTCTGGAGGGATTTCTGTAGCGAAATCTTTATATGTTGGGGGAAATCTGAACAACAGTGGTACTGTATCGATCTTGACCACTACTGATGCCACTTCTAACGCATCAGGCGCTCTTCAAGTGAATGGAGGCGCATCTGTAGCGAAATCTTTATATGTTGGGTCAAATCTCCATGTGACCAGTGATTTGAACAGTCCTGCCTTAACATCGAAAACTACTTTGTTCCCTTACCCCACAACGCCAGCAACAGGTTCTTCATGGAACGGGTATACAGTTACCGCGTCATCTGAGTATACATACCCAAATTCGAACGGAGTCGATTCGTATACAGGTCATCCATTCGACGCTTACATGAACGCCTCCATCGCTTCCAGACTGCGGTGGGCAACCGCAAGCACTTCGACAGCCAATTTAGGTTTAGATGGAACAACGCAAAATCTTCATTACTCTTTATTGAGACTCCCGTCGGCCATTGCTATGAGTTCAATCAAACTCACCGCCTACCTGATGGACGCCGTGGCGATGCCTACTACGTTCTCCGTTATTGCCGGAACTACCGAGTCCGCTATGGTAACCATTGCAACGTTTTCGAATATACCTGGTTCTACTTGGACCACTGATTGTTATGAATGGGCGGAGCCGATGGAAATAGAGGCGACTTGTGGTGCAGGTTGTTGACAGGTAATGGTATTCAGACCGAAACAAGAACTAGAACAAGACTAGGAAGAACTGGTGTTGATCTGCTGGGGGATCAGGAAGTGGGGAGCTCAGGGGAGGCGGCTATTTATGCTTTTCTGGGAAGGCTGGGGAAGCGTGGGGAAGCAGAAGGGTACGGAATGAGAGGGAAGCCAAGAGAAGCGCCAAGGGTGGGGGAAGCATAGAAACAGAAGACTGGGGATGGGGTGGCTACGCTGAGGCTGTGGGCGGGTACGTGGGGAAGTATGGAGAAGGGTTTGTAAGCGCCGAGTGTTGGGAGGTGTGGCTACGTGCGGCTGCGTGGAGAAATGAAGGCAGTGGCAGGTGTGGGGTAGCGCGGCTGCGTGCGGCTGCGAGGTTTGGCAGATGTCAGGTTTTGACAGGGAATTGACATTGACTGACTGTTGGGATGCTGTCATGAGGTAAGCGCATGGTATGGACGCGTCGTCCATAACAGTAAGATTGGCCCCTTCACAATCACGGAGAAGATCAACTCGGTCACATATCGCCTCAAGCTTCCCCCATCCTACAAAATTCACAACGTCTTCCATGTCTCCCTTCTTGAACCACGTTTCACCATTCCGGAGCGAACTGAGCCAGAACCCACCCCACCAGAAGAAGTCGAAGGACAGGAGGAATGGATTGTGGAAGACATTCTTGACTCCCGTATTCGACGCACGCACCTTCAGTACCTCATCAAGTGGCAGGGTTGGCCAAGCTCGCAGAACACATGGGAGCCAGTGGAACACCTTGCCCGCTGTCAAGAGCTTGTTGCCCAGTTCCACCAAAAGTACCCCGACAAACCCCGACCAAAGCCTGCCAACATCAAAACAACATCCGGACGCCGTGGCTAAAGGAGGGGGTGATGTTATGGACGACGCGTCCATACCATGCGCTTACCTCATGACAGCATCCCAACAGTCAGTCAATGTCAATTCCCTGTCAAAACCTGACATCTGCCAAACCTCGCAGCCGCACGCAGCCGCGCTACCCCACACCTGCCACTGCCTTCATTTCTCCACGCAGCCGCACGTAGCCACACCTCCCAACACTCGGCGCTCACAAACCCTTCTCCATACTTCCCCACGTACCCGCCCACAGCCTCAGCGTAGCCACCCCATCCCCAGTCTTCTGTTTCTATGGTTCCCCACCCTTGGCGCTTCTCTTGGCTTCCCTCTCATTCCGTACCCTTCTGCTTCCCCACGCTTCCCCAGCCTTCCCAGAAAAACATAAATAGCCGCCTCCCCTGAGCTCCCCACTTCCTGATCCCCCAGCAGATCAACACCAGTTCTTCCTAGTCTTGTTCTAGTTCTTGTTTCGGTCTGAATACCATTACCTGTCAACAACCTGCACCACAAGTCGCCTCTATTTCCATCGGCTCCGCCCATTCATAACAGTTTGATCTGCTCAAGAACCCCCAGCCGCTGTACCTCCACGCCAAATCACCATGTCCGACGCCCTTCCCCTCACGGCCGAAGCCTGGCAAGCCATGTGCAATGCGATTGACGAACTTCGAGCACAGAATACCAGCCCTACAAGCCGAACTAGCGCAAACCCAGACCACTGCCCCTGCCACCCACGGCCCCGAACCCAAAATCAGTCTCCCAGACAAATTTGATGGCACCCGAAGCAAGTTCCGTGGGTTCCTCAACCAGATCCGGCTCATGTTCGCCCTCCAACCCAGGCGCTACCCCAACGATCAGACCAAGATACGAACTATTGGCACCTACCTCACTGGCACCGCCCAGGCCTGGCTGGCGCCCCTTGTCGAACAAGACCATCATTCCCTTACGAACCTGGATGATTTCATCCAGCAAATGCAAGCAGTCTTTGGAGACAGCGACAGGATCCGCACGTCCGAAAACAAGCTCCAGAACCTTCGACAAACCCGTGCAGCAACAGAGTATGTAGCTGAATTCCGACAGCTGCAATGCGATGTGTCGTGGAATGACCAGGCATTGATTGCCACCTTCCGTCGCGGCCTCAAAGAAGACGTCAAGGACTTAATGCTCACGATGCCCCCTACCGCCTCAATCGACACCGTGATGGAACAGGCCATCCAATGTGACAACCGATTGTTTGAGCGCCGTCTAGAGCGAAGCAGGAACCGACAGCCATATGTGCCAGTTACCACTAGCCCCACCCTCATGAGCCCCGACAACCGCCCAGACGACCCTATGATCATTGACGCTGCTCGTCCGCAAGGACCCCTCACACCGCTAGAGCGCCAACACCGCATCACAAACAAACTTTGTCTCTACTGTGGTAAACCCGGCCACATAGCCAAACTCTGCCCGAACAAGATACGCACGGCGAATGTCGCGGTTAAGGAACCTGCACCCATCCAGGATTTTGCCCAAGTCCAGCTGCAGTAAAGGCCGAGCAGCTGGGCAACACCTGTCCTGGGCCTTCTCACCACGCAAGTACTGCCAAGGGAGAAGCCACAAAACCTTGCTCCGATCCTGGCATCTCCAGCAACACCCTTCTCCTGACCACCAACAATGTCAATCTCCTATCTGAGATACCCTCACCCATGCGGACTTTGGGCCCATCCTCACCATTCGAGTACCCTGTTACCCTGCAGATATCGGCCCAGCGAGCTCCAGTTCAGCCTTTCAGCACTACTCGACACCGGTGCGATGTCGTGCTTCATCGACGAAAGTTATGCCCGCAAGCACCGCATCCCACTTGTCAAGAAGGAGGACCCCATTGCGCTTGAACTGGTTGACGGACGTCCCAGCCATGCGGGCTCCATTACCCATCACACCCAACCTTTGGGCATGTGGGTCAACGACCATTTTGAGGAGGTGGTATTCCATGTGACATGTTCCCCGCATGCGCCAATCATCCTGGGGCTTCCCTGGTTTGAGCTCCATGATGTGGAGCTACATTGGAAGACTCGCACTCTTTGCGTCCGCTGCCATTGCGGTTTTGGACAATACGCCTCCTGGGATGCCCTGCCAACAGAACCTAGCCCGAAGCCCTCAAGAACCCCTGAACCTCTGATCCGTATCCATCAAGACGAGATTTCAGTCTCCCTAGCCCAGACACCCAACACACTGGACCCAGCACCCACACCGATCCACGTATCGTTTATCAGCGCCCCAGCTTTCCGTGTGGCGGCAAGGCATGACCAGGCATTCATTGCCTACGCCAATCCGACCAAGTCAGATTCCCAAGCCCTGGCGACCACTCCTCCAAAAGATCCGAAGGCCATCATTCCTGAAGAATACCAAGATTTTGCGGACGTCTTCGCCAAGAAGAACGCGGATACCCTCCCAGAGCACCGACCCTACGACTGTCCCATCGACTTAGAAGAGGGCAAACAGCCACCGTTCGGCCCGATCTATAGTCTCAGCGAGCCTGAAATGCAGGCACTCTGTGACTACCTTGAAGAGAACCTAGCTAAGGGGTTCATCAAGCACTCCAAGTCTCCCGCCGGTGCCCCAGTCCCTCTTTGTCAAGAAAAAGGACGGTTCCCTCCGTCTGTGCGTCGACTATCGTGGACTCAACAATATCACCATCAAGAATCGCTATCCCTTGCCCTTGATTAACAGCATCATGGATCGTCTTCGAGGGGCACGCCAGGCTCACCAAGATTGACCTCCGGGGAGCCTACAACCTTCTTCGGATCCGGCCAGGGGATGAATGGAAGACAGCGTTCCGATGTCGCTACGGCCTATTCGAGTATAATGTCATGCCGTTTGGGCTCACCAATGCCCCTGGAGTATTCCAACACCTCATGAACGACATATTCCGTGACATTCTCGACGTTTTTGTTGTGGTCTACCTTGACGACATTCTGATCTTCTCAAAAAACCCAGAAGACCACCCCAACCACGTCCGAGAGGTGCTCTCACTGACTCCGCCAGCACGGGCTGTATGCGAAACCGGAAAAATGCGAATTCAACCGTGACTCTGTTGAGTTCCTGGGGTTTATCATCTCCCAGCAAGGCATTTCCATGGACCCAAAGAAGACGGCTGCCATTACCGAATGGGAATCCCCGACGAATGTCAAAGGCATCCAGCGCTTCCTTGGTTTTGCCAACTTCTACCGGCAATTCATCAAAGGGTACTCTGCGATTGTTGCACCCCTGACCACGCTCACTCGCAAAGACTTGCCATTCAAATGGACCCACGCTGCACACCTAGCTTTTGAAACCCTCAAGAAAGCCTTCACCTCCGCACCTATCCTGACTCACCCCGACCCTGACAAGCCCTTCATTGTCGAATCCGATGCCTCCGACTTTGCCCTTGGCGCCGTCCTCCTTCAACCCGACAACACAGATCAACTCCACCCCGTGGCCTTTCACTCCCGCAAATTTACTCCTGAGGAAATCAACTATGAGATCTACGACAAGGAACTCCTGGCTATCCAAGACTCATTTGCTCAATGGCGACACCACCTCATTGGTGCCCGCCACAAGGTCATCGTTTACTGTGACCACAAGAACCTCCAGTACTTCATGACTACCCGTACCCTCAACCGCCGCCAATCCCGCTGGTCAATCTTCTTTGCTGATTTCGACTTTGTCATCACATACCGCCCTGGTACCCAGCAACACCAAGCTGACGCCCTCTCTCGTCGCTCTGA